AAACTACGTAACATCTGGGCACCTTTTAAATACGTGAAATATCTGCATAAAATTACGTTAAATGTTTTATAATACTACAATCGAACAATAAATTAATACTCACTATTTCTTGAGTAAAAAGTCTTGACGCAATTTCCCAAACAAATAATACACTTAGGTCATCGGGATAAGTCGGCATGTTGTCGTAGCTTCGTAATTTTCATTTAGTATAACTAGTAATGAGTTGTCCATCATTCCATCTCAGTCCCTCTCGACCAAGGTGGTTTTGGTAGATGGAATCTAATGCTGACCGAGGAAAGCAGGTAACGGCAGCAATCGGAGAAAGGCTTGTCAGAACACAGGTGGCCCAAGCTCCAGCTGTGAGATGATCATCTTGCGAAATAACAGTCATGGCGAAATTATAAGAGTTTGTATGGGAATATTTACCACCGCTCTAAGGAATAAAAAATAAGTCAAATTCTCGATAAAAATACCTCACCTTACTTCCACAGTGCATCGCTTGCTATCCGACCGCTTACTACGTTGAAGGGAACCCGTTTTAGCGTTTTATCCATTTCGAGGTTTACTACGTACATAAGAATTTTAAGAAAAGGTCATTTGGAGCTTTGATTTTTCGTTGCTCGGATCGGGCGTTCGGATACGAAGTGGGCTGCACACTCAATGTCATCTCTTGCGATATCACAATATTACGTATACTTACACGTCTTTGACGTTCTACTTTAAAATTGTACTCGACATTGACGTTTTATCATGTGTTATGGTCTAGGAAAAGTAAAACGCTCACACAACAGAAAGAACGGCCGGTTACCATACTGCATTCCAGGATGACTTGGAACATTTTCGACGAAATTTCAAGGTTGAGCCATGATCTTTAGATAGAAATGCTCTCCTTTGAAATCTGTTCGAGTAGCCGATAAGATCGTACATGAATGCGACGATAATCGCCAAAAAAAAAACCTTTCAACACAGTCTAGAAATTCGTAAAGTTGCAAATCAAAGAAGTAAACGTTTAAAAGCTATGGACGAATGTTTAGAGGAAATTAGTAACACTGAATGTGACTAAACATAACAGCGCGTTGCGTCGATGTGGTTCAATCTCTTCTTGTTATTGGCTCGATCTCGAATTGTTTAGAACCAAGAAAATGGTTACCATGGAACCGTGACATCACACTTTACCACTCTATAGGCGCCTAGCGCTTATTCAAAATTTCGGCTAAGAGGAGGGGCAAAGAGGGCGGCTTAATAAAGAGAGCGCTTATTAAGTTTTCATTTCAGCGAAATATAACTTAATTTTGGGTAACCTTTTCAAAAAAAAACAAAAACTGCCGCAAAGACGTCGAGTCCATATTGATGTCTTTCGTTTGTTAAAACAATGGTTAGTAGTCAAGCGCACCATAGTCTTATTCAACACCAACACTTTACACACAGATGTATCGGCATGTTCTTAAATATCGATCATTTCATCATTTTCGTCAATTATATGCAGATCGTTGCATTCCTCTTGATCCATTAGGCGGTGAAAGTGAAGACGGAGGGAGGGAACTTTTTCAAGGGGGGCACTTGTTCGACATCATGTCCTAGTGGGTGGGCGCTTATTCGGGGGAGGGCGTTTATTAGAGCGTTGCCACTTATCCTAGGATATAATCGGTATTTACTATCTCATATCCAGCACGTGTTCATGGAATAAACTTTTTCGTGATTCTTTTCAGCCCAACGCAGTGCTCCTCCTGAGCGTCTTCAGTTTAATCTTCCTGTGAATTTTCGCACTACTGATGTAGTCTACGCAGTGCCTCCAGTCCAAATATCTATGCCGACGGAGAAACCTCTAGATACTCCAGTTCCGTTTCGGCGGCAGCGGTCTAAAAGTTATCCTAACCTTGATATTTTTAAAGAGGTAAGGTGACATTCTGCCCCTCCTTTCCGATTTTGATTTTTCACTTCGACCATGGCTTAATCTACTTGTTAACAGCAAATAATTTAGAGCACAGTCAAAGGGGGAGTAGCATTTTAGGGCCTTCAGACGACACTTTTCAATATTTAAACCTAAACCTGAAGATGGAACAGGAAACGATTAAAAGTATTAACGCTTGCATTATGATGATCGACAGGCTCGTCAAATTGGAGGAGAAGACGATAACGAACATGAATCAAGTGAGTTTTGTATCTTCCTCGAAAATTAATTGTCTGGTTATCTTTTTGTTAAGAAATACTTACTCACAGATTTCAGAATATTTCACCATTGTTTGCTGTTCTAGTTTATGTAAGGCTTTCACCCGGGGAGACTTTTTCTGTCGCTGGCAGTGTTCTTTAAAAAATAATAAAAGAATTTGAGTAGGAAAATGAAACAAGCAACCTACAACTGTACAACTATGGTAGCACGATGGTAGTCTAAAAAGTCTTTAAAGCAACAAAGCAAAACACCTTACAACATTACAGAAATTATTATTTCAAGGAACAACTGTAGAATCGCGAGGTAGATCCCCACCGACTTACACTCCATTCTAACTAGAAATGACAATTTCTAGCCTTGATCCAAATAATAATAGGTCTGTAGATAGTAAATGTCCTTTTTTGTTCTATTTGTTGTTTATTTGTTATCTAATCGTTTTACTATTTTGTTGCAGTTCCTGTGGAAATCGTTGCTCGAGGCCCTAAGGCCCTCGAAGCTTACCATTGAGCCATCGAAGAAGGAAAAACTAGTGTGAAAAGAGTGCCAATCATGTTCATTGGGCAAGGTCAGTCGGGAAAAACAAGTTTAAAGAGATCACTTATAGGAGAGGAATTCAATCCAGAAGAATGCAGTACTATAGGCATCGAAACAGATCCTTCCTATTGTAAAGTATCAACGGAAGTTTGGAAAATGGGAGAGGCAACCCACGAAAGAGATTCAAGCATGGAGCCAATCTCTTTTGAAAGACACACAGCTCAATATATTGTTAACAGCCTCGAGAAAAACGAACGAAGAAAAGAACTCAAGCCTAGCCCATCTCGTTACGACAATGTACATGAGAAGAAAGGAGGTCCATGTTCCCTAAATAATAATTGTGTATCATCCGGTGCACCAAAGGTTAAAGCCGTGCCAGAAGAAATAGCGTCATTAGTTACCAGGCTACTTCAAGTTGTGCGCGTTGACGAAGACAAAGATGAAATCTTTTCAACTTTGTGGGATTTTGGCGGGCAGTCAGTTTATTATTCTACCCACCCACTTTTTCTAACAAGAGGGGCAATTTACCTTTTGGTTTATAATCTCAACCGAGATCCAGAGGAGAAGTCTATATCTCGAGTAAAGCGAGGATTATTCAAGTCTATCAAAGACGTTCTTTCTAAGAAGAGTAATATGGATTATCTCAACTTTTGGATGTCCTCAGTTTCTAGTTTGGTTCCAAACAGTGAGAAACCTCACGAAACCCCTTCAACTTCCATGCAACCAGAACTGCTGCAGCCCCCAGTTATTCTGGTCTTTACCCATGCTGACAAGCCTCACAAAGGTGCAGATCCTGAAGAGCTTGCAAGAGAGATTTTTGGAAATTTGAAGGAAAAAAGTTATGGTAAACAAATTCTGGACTTCTTTGTCGTAGACAACACTAAGTCTGGGAGTAAGGAAGAATGTGAAGGGGTTATTCGTTTGAGAAAAGGGGTGCTGGACACTGCCAAGAAGCTGCCTCAGCTGAAAGAGGTTATTCCAATCAAATGGCTGAAGTTTGAAAAGGCTGTAAAAGAGACGGTTGAGCACGGAAGCAAATGGATTTACATCGAAGATGCGGAAAGAATTGCACGTGAGGTATGCGGAATTTCCAACGAAGAGCAGTTTCTAGCTATGTTGAACCTCCTACACGACCAGAGAATTTTGATTCATTTTGACGACACCCGAGAGTTAAACAAAATCGTTATTTTGGATCCACAGTGGTTGATAGACGTGTTCAAGGAGGTGATTACTATTCCGCCCTTCAAGAAGAGTAAAAAGGAACATACAGAACAGTGGAAAAAGCTTGAGAAAAGGGGAATCTTGGAAAAGCGACTTTTAGAAGACTTGTGGGATCCTCTTCTTGACACCCGAGAAAATTTTGACGTCGACAGTCTTATCAACATGATGGAGAAATTTGGTTTGTTATGCCCTTGGCCGTCGTCTGACGAGAGTGGGTCACCCAGTGAGTATCTTGTACCTTCCATGTTGATGTCCCCCCCGAAGA